AGCTGGGCTTGTTCAGCCTGGAGAAAAGAAGGCTGCGGGGTGACCTCAGTGCAGCATTTCAGTACCTAAACGAAGCCTACAAACAAGAGGGGAGCAAACTCTTTGAAAGGATAGATAACTGCAGGACAAGGGGAGGTTTAGGTTGGACGTTGGGGAAATTCTTTACAGAGAGAGTGGTGAGGTACTGGAACAGGCTGCCCAGAGAGGTTGTGGATGCCCCGTCTCTGGAGGTGTTCAAGGCCAGATTGGATGGGGCCCTGGGCAGCCTGGTCTAGCATTAGATGTGGAAGTTGGTGGCTCTGCATGTGGCAGGGGAGTTGGAGATTCATGATCCTTGACGTCCCTTCCAACTCTGGCCATTCTGTGATTCTGTGACCTTGACAAATTGCCCAGTGGGCAAATGAGAACCTCGTAAATTTCAGCAAAGGCAAAGTCCTGTCTGGGATGGAAAAATCCCATGCAATAGTAAACACCAGGGGGCATCTGGGTAGAAAGATTTCAGCAAAGGACCGAAGGTTCTGCAGCACAAACCAGCACCATGCTCTTAAGGTAAAAAATGCCAGCTACATTCTGGGCTGCATGAGCAATAGTACAGTTAGCAGCTCACTGAAGTCATAATTCCCACCTATCCAGTGGTTTGCAAGCCTCCAGTAGGACACTGTGTCTAGTTTTGGTGCCCTGGCACATTAAAGTCAGAAACAAAGAACAAGATAGTCAGGAAAGCAGACCATGTGACATGATAAAAGGCTGTAGAATTGTTTTTTCCAGCCTTATGAAATGAAGATGAAGAGGAGCTAGCTTGATAACCTAGTGGGAGAGAATAAAGCAGTTTGAGACAGATGGAAGCAGATGGAACCAGCCCTTCTTGGAGGTGTGCAGTGTTATATGAAAGAAATGGACACAAGCTGTAGCAAGATACTGTACACGTAAGATAGAAAGAGACTCAAAGTTCAACTGGACACAGCCCTGAGCACTCTGCTCAAGCAGGTCCTGCTCTCAGCAGGTGACCAGATGACCTCTCAAGGGCCATCTGCAGCAGCAGCTGTCCTTGGACTTCCAGAGAAACAATACCAGTAAATGTTTGATTTCTTCTTTAACTTTACCAAAATTGAGGAGTTATCATCACAGAGTCATAGAAACATAAGCGGTAGAAGGGACCTGTGGAGATTATCTACTCCACTCCTGATGCTAAAAGAGGTTCCCTGGAGTAAGTTCCTAGGATATTAGGAAAACTTATGAGGTAGGAAGTATTTGTATTAAGAGTATTTGTCATTGCTCACCTTAGAAGCATTCAACACTGGACACCTATGCTTTAAGCATCTTTGACCCCTACTTGCTGCCCTTTTGGAGTACATGATTATGTGATACAGGCTGTGCAGAGCCTGTATTTCTTAAAAACAAAACTGCCCCGGCATTTTTGGAGTTCTTGAGACTGAAATCCTCTTCCTAAGGCCCACCTTTCTTATCTTCAAGATAGAAATGTAGGAAAACCTGTCCATTCTACATACACATTTGTGGCAGCTAAACCAAATGGTTAGTGAGAATATTTCAATAGTTTATCTTTTCTAATGCGTTTTGACACTGCTAGCAGCATTTACTATATAGATTAATATACTTCTAAATATGAAGAGTCAGTTTCACAGTCAGCTTAAACAGATGCAAGACTACATCAGTGCTGAAATTCTGTAACAGCAGTGGCTCTCCTCAGCTTGTTCCAAAGGAAAACAAATCTTACAAAAAGCTTTCAGCTTGATTAGCAAGCAGAGCTGACTCACTGAGGCCTTGTGATCCCCAGCACTAAAGGAGGAAAGGAGTGGGCAGCACGTTTTTCAGTGGCTGTATAACCTTTAGTAATGAAACCATGTCCTGTGTCAGTAAGTGCTTAGCTGCACAAAGCCATTCACAATTCTGCAAGCTTCTCTTTGGGGTCTTCCAAAGACGTCACACAACTGCACCAGTTACATTTGAGTTGCCCTTTCCAGCTTCGCTGCACGACAGAAAAACATCAAAACCAGACCCAGACAAACATAGCAGTCTATTTTTGCTTCCATTCAGTGTTGTGTCCTATCTAGAACACAAACGTCAGACTTCTCAACAAGTGTTTATTTTACAGTGACGATCCAGTGGTGAGATCCTCCCCATGCCTGTAAGAGAAGGCAATGTGCCTACTCTTAATGAAGGGCACTACTTCAAGGGAGCTGAAAGCCCGTCCTCCAAATTGTACAAACACTATGCAGACTGTAGAGGAATTTATCTCAGAATTGAGCTCAGAAAGAGATATAAATAAGCATAAAGTTATAGGAAATAAAAAACGATATAGAGAAAGACAGTCTCCTACACAGGGAGATTACTTATAGCACTGTTCTCAAATTAACAAGTATGCATTATTTAAAATGCCACCAAGTCAGAATAAGTAATGATTTGGATATACTCCAGTATGAAAGATATGAAGCCATAAAGCAAAGGGTTCAGTTCAGTGTTCCTGCTGATTTAAAATAAACTATGAGTGTTCTCTCTAATATGATTATGTTTTAAATGTAAAGTTTACAACATTTACAAAGACTTAATTATAATTAATGTCAATCTTCACTAGAACAGAGGAGGAGAAAGGAAGAAAGGATCTCAAAAGTAAAAGCACAAAAGTGGGGCAGTTTATTGCAGTAGGTACTTAAACAAAGCAGGCTGAACACAGTGAACTGACACAGCCTACACTGGATGTGATAAGTTCTGTCTCTAGGGCAAGGAGCTTTAATTAACTTGTGTAGCTACAACAATAAACGCTATGAGTCCTAAATGCTTATTTAGAAGGTTGCTGTAATAATAATCCATGATTATTATTACAGAAGAGCCAACCAGTATAAATACTTCTAATTCAGAATGTACTCTCACTTCATTATATTAATTCTATTAACCCATTTCAAGCCCAAATGTCATGCTTTTGTGTTCACGAAGAGACACTGCGGTATAAGAAAGCATTTGAATGCTTCCCTGGCTACACTGTAAAAATACTCCTCAGTGCACTGACGGTACTTTCCTTTATGTGCACAAACATCCCCCCACCTTTCCACTTGCTGCTGTACCAAAGCACATCCAAAAGTGCAATACAAGCATGGAAGCATTCTCCTTTGTTACAAACAGTGGCACTATCTATTATTGCAAAAGGTTACAGTGCTATTACTCAGAATTCAAAGGAACAAACAAAAAGAAACTAAAGTATTATGTCACCTCTGAACCATGTCCGAAACAGATGTCAAAAAGCTGTCCAATCTTTTGGAAAACATCTCTGCTCCTTTCTTAAAAAAGTTGATCTGAAAAATATAAAGAAGGGACACTGAAAGTCATCTTGGTTCTGGCAGACAAATAACAGATTGTGGGGGCTGCGTTAACACTGATCCCATTGTGACTGATGCTTTGGGCTGGCAAAATAAAGGCTAAAACAAACGTGTTGCCTTTCTTTGCACTTTTTTCTTTTGCACCTTTCCACGCTCTCGTATGCCCTTTTTCACACATAAGCTATTGGCTGCTGACAGGTATGTTTCCAATGAACTTGCTGAATGACCACAAAGAGGGAACAGGCAGCCTTCTCTCACACTGGCACTGTGCAGAATTGGGTCTGTGGTGTTACAAGCCACTGCATGCAATGTCACCTTGTCAACAAGAATGGGACTGAATCATCCATTAGATTTAGTGGACCAACCTGGAAATCTATAAAGTCAGTCAGGAAAATGATGAAGTGTAGTTGTGCTAGCACACATCTCCAGAGCAATCAGTTCTACATTTTTACCATGGATTTTGTTCTACTAAAGGAACTAAAAAAAAAGCCACAAAGACCGAAGTGTGCTTTTTACTGAAGAAGCTGCATTTGCTTTGCCAGTATGGCTCAGCCAGCATTCAACAGTACAGCCACACAGTTCCTTGTAGGCTTCATCTTGGATTCTTGCTCTGGGGCACACTAGGAACACAGACATGGCTTGTGGTGTGTGTGTGTAATTAATTAGTTTTATCAAAAACATTTAGCAAACTATTCTAGAAAGAAATGCAGAAACTTCAAAACAATTACTTGCAGTTAAGCAGTTTATTTAACACAACACTACTCGTGATTCCACTCATATTCCCTAATTCTGGGTCATAGGATTCCTCTTACCCACATCTCAGATTTCTGCAACTATATGCTTGGCCGCAGACTCCCTTTACAAAGGAGAGAAAGCAGACTCTCTTCAAGAATGCTTCACCTATTTATTTCAGAAGCCTACTGCTGGAGGGAAGAACACTGCACTCCACTGACAATAATGAGGGGCTGACGTGTCCAGTTTAGACTTTGAGGATAGTTTTCAGTCAAAGAAATCCTGTACATTAGCCACTACTTCTAAAAATTCCTTATGTTCTGCTCTTTCTTTGGAAATGTGAAGTACTAGCCACATGTTTTGAATCATCAATAAAGAAAATATATAGTTTAAAAACTGAAGGGTGATTCTCATTTAAACATCATGATTTAAACATCAAAATCAACAGGCTTCTGACCATTCTGCCTTTCCCATGACAACCTGAGACCTTCCTGCACAAAGCACTGAGATATGGCAGTTTTTCCAGATAAAAGAAGTTGTTTGGCTTCCACAAAAGGGAAACTGGTGCAGTTCTTTTGCTAAAGATAAACAATCATAAAATAAAGAAGCAGTATCAACTACGATGGTGGGAAAAGTGACTGAATTCTCATTAAATACCTATTTTATACAGAAAACATTATCAGCAAAAAACAGAGGACAGTGGAAATGATGATCCACACTGCCATCTCAAACAGACCATTGCACCCATTTTTATTATATTTATTATATTTATTATATACCCAGCTCTCATTTTTTCCCTTTGCTTTCTTTCGTCAGTTTCAAAGCACAACAGATACTTAAGATGGGCCAGTAATGAGAATCAAGTGCTGTGAAAACACTGGTTTATTAATCCTCCTAACATCCTGGAGAATCAAATTAACAGAGTACTACCTCATCTCACAGTTTTGAGAAATGTGTGTTCAGCCATTACAACAAATTGCTGGCAGAATGAAGATTAGACACAGGATTTCCCAGCCTTATGCTCAATCCACCCTACTGTTCTGTTCTTCTAGTTCTCCAGGGCATGCTCTGTTCCTTGTGGTGTGCACTCCTCATCAGTATGCTGAGCATTATGTGCCAGGAGGGGAAGTGCTACATAGGCGAGTTTGTGCAGACACTGAGTAAACAGTAGAAGTAAATGCTGTTGTATTAAAAACTTAGCTGTGAAAGAACTAACCCCAGGCTGACTTTGCATACAAGTGTACAGTACATTCCCCCCCCCACATACACTTGTATCTCTCTTTGATACCTAAACACTGAACCACCTGTCACAAATGTAAACAACTGTTAGAACCCAGGCATGCTGAATAAAGTTTTCGATTATTTTTCTGTTTTCATTTTGTCAGTTCTTGTAAATTGATCAATCCAGAGCTACAGTGTTTTACTTTTCCCAGGGAGAGGCCTAACTGTAGTTTCACTGTCCGTACCTGTCCTCGTGTATATCCTAGCATAGGTTCCATCATTGCCACTCTCTTCCTGTACTGCAGAGCATTCAGGGCACAGTAATATTGCAGAGATGAAAGATGCTGCTTTCTCCTTGCATTCGCCACTTCTTTTGCCACTTCTGCCTTATGCTAAATAAAAATTGGTAAGTAGGTTGACAATTTGTTACTGTGCATAAGGATACATTTACTGATTATTTTCAAGTTATCTTTAGACAAGGTTCATTACAGAAGGTTCATTAACATGAAGGATGAGAAACTAACATAGGAAATCCAAAACCCAAATCAACTTCAAGCCCTGCTCTGTAAAAATACTTAAACATTTGGGCAGTCCCTGTGGTTATTAACTACAAAACTATCACAATTAATATTCTGGATCTGATCTCAATGCAAGAGATTTGTTTGCAGCTGAGATCACAACCCAAGCCTCCAAGTGCAGAACACAGAGATGAATAATTCATAATATGCTGTATCACATTCTGTTCTGCACTGCACACCCTTTGAAGGACCATGCTGGTGAACTGAAGCCCTCTCAGCATGGGGCCATCATACATTTCTAGCCTATAGAGGCATTATTTTGGAATAGTGGTCCAGTGGGCAAGGAAGAAGAAACGTAGAGCAACCCCACCAACACAGTTTGGTGTGCCATAAGTGACAACTTAGAGGCAGACGTAGAACAATGGGATGCTTTATAAATAGCAGACACAAGGCTTCGAGACACGCTTTGCAATGAATTGCCCAGTGATACAGCATCACCACATCAGCTGTAAAACAGTAGGCCTATACAAGTCTATTTATAGCCATTTGGCTATTTGCCTCCATCTGAAGAGATCCTCTGGACTGCAAGGGCTATAGTTCAGCAACACCTGCCACCTTGGAGAAACAGGTATAACTGCTGAATTCACGTCTAAAAGCTTTGTGTCTGCTTAGAAACTAGATCACCAGTATTCCTGAGCTACTGTGAATTTAATGATGAACTCTCCAAAGTTCATAAGCTTATGTAAGGATTAGCTACAGTGATGAAGACAGAATGACTGATGAAAACTTCTCCTTTTCCCTTTCAAGTTTTTTACCTTTTCATTTTCTTTCCTTTTCGGTAACCTGCTATACTTTGCCATGGACACGTCATGTTCTGTAGACAAGGAATATTATTTTTTTAGAAATGTGATGTGTGTGTGCATAGATTTAAAATGTCTTCTGTGATATAACAGGTGCATATCATTAGAAACAAATGAAACTAGGAAACATACCAGTGCTGGCAAGGCCAAAAAGATCCTTCAACGTGCTTACTTCTGAAAAAGAGAAATTGAATATTCAAAGTAGAAACTGCTGTAAACACTTGGTTCAACTGAGATCACTGATGGCATGCTTAATGCCTGTCATTCCAATCCTTTAAAAGCAGAGTGTCATGCCTGTCTTCAAAATTATGTCATCAGTTGCAAGACAAACAAACAGGCAGACAGGAAAATAAGAGTTGAGTTAGTTTACTTGATAGAGAAAATTATCACTGTGAAAAAGATTCTTTGTCTGTCAGTGTAGTTTACCCCAAGAAGCACCATTTCACTATGCTTGTTATCACAAAAAGCCCATGTCTATCAACAGTTCTGAACATCCTGACAAAGTTTACGTGATATCAAGAAATTTAACAAAGTCCCAGTGACATGTGATCTAAGCCCCCTTCATGTATGTAATTTTCTCCATCAACGTGGAGCTTCTTTTGCTACTCTCTGTGAAAATAAATTGTTATCCAATACGTCTGATTGCCAGCTATGATGCTGATGTGACAAACATTGGCCACCAGTTTCTCAGGCGGTAGAAGAGATACTGAACAGGTGGCTCAACTTCGAAAAGCATGGGGTGCAAACTGCTCTCAGTGCTCATATCAGTGTGCATTGTAACTGGCAAAATCCTTCTCAAAAGGCTACAAAGCAAACACTTTCATAAGACCTGCTACTATGCAACTGTGAAAAGAAAAATGGTACAACTGTAGGATGTTGTCATGGTCTCTGATTATTTTAACAATCTATTCATAAATCAGCTTCATGCCAGCTCTGTCTTCCCAGAACACTTCCACATGATTCTAATGTAGAATGATAGAAATTCCTTCCAGGTCTGACTTCCGCTTAAAGGTTTCTATAATATTCAATTCAAATAAGTTAAAAAAACAAGTTAAAAAAAAAAATACAAAACACAGTTAATCTTCTCTGTTTCCACATTTAATCCTACGATGAAATTTCAACATGGCCAGTCCCCTAACAAAAATGCTTCTCTACAGATAGTGAAAAACAGTGATCAGCTCATGGGCAGGTAGAATGAATATGATTTTGACATCTAGGGGAGTTAAATAAACTTTCATTATTTCTTATGAAGCAGCTGAGGCTTTGGTTTCTGTCTTTTCTGTCCCCTTTTATGAACAAGGAACAAAATTCCTACAGATGGGAACAGATTCACTGTATCTGTTGAAGCCACATTAAGGAGGTGTTAAAGCCTTTATAGAGCCAACATCTTACCATCCAAACACTGCTACGTATTCTTGACACTATACTGTGAACAACATATCCAATTTTATAACCACCTTGATATCTCTGCAGTTTCAAATGAGATTCTATGATATAGGAAAACTAAACTACTCACTATTTAGCTGTGGAGTTCTGGGTTGTTTTTTGTCTCCCATATCATGATGTCTTTAAGAAGTATATAAGCAGGAGAGTAAATTTAGCATGAAAATTGGTTGCTTTTTCTTTAATTCTGCAGTAAGAACTCACGTTCCTGCGGCATGAGTAGGTTAGAGTGTCCTTGAAAGAATTTGTTTCTTGAAATTCCACCCGATGTTTGCACTATTGCTTTGCTGTTTAAGTACGGAATTTCCAAGTTTGTGCAACTGAGTTACTTGGAACTACCCGTGGATGGCAGGGACTTAAAGAGGACTAACTGCTTAAAAGGGAGGGGACATATTATACTGTGGAGTTAGGAAAGTATTCCTACTTGTGCTTTTCAAACAATCCCAGACTTCTGCAGAGGGATTAATGTTGTTTGGAAACCAGATTCACTGCTAAATTTCCCTGTTTTAGGCAATTAAATTGTCACTGGCTTCAATGAAAATATGCTTGTGTAAAAGTGCAGTGACACAACAAAGAACAAGGTTGTGTATTTCCAAACTTCACCCATCCAGAGCATATACCTGGTGAAACTGCACTGTTTACGTCTGAGTGAAAGTATATGTCAATGCAATTCTACAGCAGGGAAAAAAAAATAAAAACAAAAAAAAACCCCACAACTTTAGCGTGAATTATCAAAAAGAACAAATTCTTATATGGGACTATATGACTATACCTCAGTTTATTACAAAATAAGCAAGAAGAAATACCAAGAGGAAAATGAAAATTTACAATACAACTTACCTGTGAGATCCTTCTCCCGAAATTGTATGATTGGGAGAATCATTGTATCTGCAAGCTGTTTTGCCAATTCAGAATGGAGAACGTTGAGCTAAAACAGAGAACAGAGGAATGCTCAAAAACACAGCACAATTAAGAAGAATAACACACACTATTTGTGTTGAACTCTCTGTAGCCAGTGTTGATACAGGCTATAAGGCATGTTTGTTAACTTTAAGCACAAGCAGTAAAAGTTCTTAGCAAACCTTTCATGTAAGGTCTTCTGATGGATTTATATTTCCACCATTTGGGATCAGAAATATTGCAGCAAGACTGCCAAGCGTCGCTACTATTCACAGAACTACAGAATTGTTTAGTTTGGAGGCATCTCTTGATATCATCTGCTCAAACTACCTGGCTCAAGCAGGGCCAGCTAGAGTAGGCTGCCCAGGCCCACGTCCAGTCAGGTTTTGAGTAACTTCACAGATCAACACCTCTACACTATTAATTGTTCTGGCCTCACTAAAAATCCATGAGCAGCAAACATCAGGTGGTTTATTGAAATTCTGCTGTTGGGCCTTCATATTGGTTCCTTTGGAAACTCATGTCAAACGCACCTTAACACCACCTGAAAAACTCATCTGCTGATCAAATCAGTAGAAAAATGACACTCGTGGCTACAGACCAGTAATTCAGTGTGATTAAAGCATAATTCCTAGAGACAGATGGGGGTTTTGCCACAGGTATATTCCTGCCTACTGTTTTCTAAGGATCCAAGAACTTTCCAGTTCCCACATATTGCATTAGGGCAGTTCACCATTAATTCTAGTCATTAACAAAATTAGATCACATGTGTAATCTGCCCTTACTGTCCAGTTTTTGTTAGTCTCTATAGCTCAGAGTAACAAATCCACTTCTGCAACCACAATCTCTCTCCATTTACGAGGACTGCCAAGGACACAATCACAAGAAGGGGCAATATTCAACTTTCACAGAATTTTTCTGTTCACACAAAGGAAACTTTGTGTGTCTCTAAAATTCAGCAAACAAAGACATATTTTAAAGCATGTTTGATATTGTTTAGGATGAAGGACAGGCTCTCATGTCAGCAATGGCATGCCGAATCTTAAATGGGTTGTGACAATTATCAATCACTGCTAGAGCACCTAATATGGGATTCTGCCTTACACAGACATGATAATCCCTGCACTTGCTCACAGTATCATTCTGAAGGCCTCCAGGCAGATTAGGAAGGAAAGGATGAAGTCAGCTTTTCTCATCTGACAATACAGAACTTAATGAGGGCAACTCAACACCTGGAGATAGGACATCTGGAACAAAGGGAAGGGGCTAACAGCCTTAAAAGGAGGCTGAGGAACAGAGAAGGCTCTTGTGAGGGAAAATGTGACTGAAAGAACTGAGCAGCAAGGTTCTCTCATTTCAGCTCACAAAGGGAACAGCTCTCTCATATCAAGGAAGGAGAAAGTTCTAGTTTTTAACTGCTTGTACTTCACAAATACAAGGCTCATGGCAGTAAATGATCCTTTCAGCTATCTCCTGAGAACACATGTACAGCAGAAGGCTAAGGGCAAACTTCACCTTTAAGATTCTTCTCATTGTATCATTAGAGTAATTCATGGGGTGAGCACAGCACTTCAAATTTTTAACTGTCCTGCATTCATCCAAGGGCAGTTCTGGCTCAAACTAAAGCTTGAAAAAGTATATGCCGTTTTTAAATCAGATGAAATGAAAAATATTTCCAGTTTATCTGAAACATGTCGTGCTTCAGACTCTTTTCTAATCCCCCTATTTAGTAAATTGAGATTTGCTTTGAGAATAGCACATGAGAGGAAGCCACAGATCCACCTCTGGTGCTCCACAAAGCTAAAAGCATCATTACTAAAAGGCAGTACTACACTTCTTTCCACCTCTGTTTAAATGACTCCGTAAAACCCAGGCACAATCTAACCTTCAGTGGGAAGGTTCAGAACAAAAAGGGAAAAGACCACAAGAAATAACCCTCCAATGTTCCATTACCATTGTAATAACAAAATACTGGCAGTTCAAATTACCTCATCCACAACTTTGGAAAAGTAATGAAGGGTGGATATCACTTCTTCATCTCCTTTTCCTAAGGCAAAATGCTGAAAATAGAAACATGCCTTTGGTGAGTATCAACAAAACTGACACAAGAAGTGTTTTACTACAGAGGTAAAAGATAATTCTACAGTAAGACTAAATGAAAAAATAGCAACTCATTAATACAAGTTCTTTATACTCTGTTTCTCTTGTTCAAAAGTAATAGGTTTTAGACAACATGCAATGAATGCTTATTAGGCTCATTTTAAAGTAATAATCACACAGTAGGAACCAATTAGCTTGCATCTTCATAAATTCATTAACTAATAATTTGCACTGTTTCTGTTTCTTTCTTTCTTTCATATTTTAAGATCCTGAGAAGTGACTTAACTCTGTTGAACATCTCAGGGCATTTTGCAAAACCCTTCACATGAAATCAAGTAAATCCTGTGGGCTAAGCACTTTTGAAAAGAATGCTTTTTGAACAGGCTTCTTTGCAGATGCTGAAGGGTAAGCCAAAGGTAAGATGTTGAACATACCTGCTTTTCGTAGGCAAGGAGCTGCTTCGAAAGCTGCTGTGTGGCAAGACACATTTCATTCTACAAACAAAAGTTACATATTAATAGAAGTACTTGAAAGTCTGCAGCTTTGCCATTAATACTATTTCATGAGCGGCCCCTTGACCAAATCTGCAACTACTTACACTGATGTTCAGTTGTACACGAACATTCTCAAAATGCCTGAGTAGAAAAGCAGTAATTATGAGAAACTAAAGACATAATCAATGCAGCTTTTTAAAGTTTAAACTCTTTGAATAGAGGTTAATTTGTGGGAATTTTTTTCTTCCAAGGTAGATTCAGAACAACTTCAAACATGAAAGTTGTTGTAACATCCTAAGAATGGTTCACATTGATTAATCTTCTTTTTTCCCCAAATCTACAAGAACAAGGAGAACCAGTAGATGTGCTCTTCTATAAGGTATTCCTGCTTAGGGAATGTACTACAATTTAACTAAACTGCCTTAAGTTGATACAGGACTACAAAAGAGTGCATAATTCTGTATTCTTACAGCTAAACCAAATGAAAGTATACACACCCTTAAGAGTGAGACAAAGCAAGACTTGTAGGGAGGATGTATAATTTTGCTTGAACTAGCTGGAAAAGAAAGAAAAGCATTTGGATATGTCAATTTCTAATACATATTCACAACACTAATATATCAACTGCTATTGCCCCGATTTGTTAGCAATGACTTAAAAACGAAAAAGTAAAACGGAGCAGGGGGAAATGAGTTCTGCTTTAAGCCTTGACAGATCCTTCTCTTCCTTGGTAAAATACAAAACTCATCACTTTTCATTTAAAACTTTACATATTTGGAGGGGGAAATAAAATGTGTTAAGGTCATGGAGAGCTTGTAAAGCTCATGGCAATCTCTGAACTGCTTTAACAGCATTATGCTGGGGCTGGTACAGAAAACGATTAAAACTAGGACAGAGTTTGTGTGTTCCCTCCCTGTGTCCCTCTGAGCAAGCAAAGCTAGCCATCTGGGCCAGAAATTCTGAAACTTTGGCCTCATGCCACCTCTGACATACTGCTCTACAGCCTGCTGTGCCTGCACCACCGTGGCATGCCACAAAGAAAGGAGGGTTAATGCAGACAGCAGGCTCATCCCAATCGTTCAGCCAGGTTTAGGTGTGCACAAAAGCACAGAAAAAAAAAAAAGGTTACTTTTTTTTTTTTACTTACCACAGCCTAAGTAACAGCAGCTGTATGTGAAGAGCTGCACTGTGAATGCACAGCAGAAAAAGGATGAGCTAACTCTGACCTTCTTAAAACACTGTGGTGGTAACACTCAGAGGAGGCTGAAGATAGCAGAGCAAAGGCCTTCCAAGTCACAAACAAGGGGTCTGAGCTGGAATTAATCTGGGTCCCAACTTGGATCATGTGCAGCTCATGACTATTCTCACCATTCTCACAATGATAGATCAGTCTTGTTTCTTGTCTCAGACCAATCACTGCACTTTCATCAAGTAGTAATACTCAGGATTCATGCAAGATCTGCAGGTTGGTTATACAGACTGTGAAGCTTTTAACATGAAAAAGCTTTACACAATCACTTGGCACGTAAGTATTTCCGAAGCCAGTGGATGGATAAGGATGTTGTGACTTAATAAGTTAACCAGCCTTGTTAAGAGCTCAGGGAAGGATGGGAATAAGCCTTAACTACCCATCCACAGGCAGCACGACACCCGAGAGACTCCTCCACCTGCAGAGTGGGAGCTGGCTGGCAAGCAGGGACTTGATGACAGGAGGAGGCTCTCTCTGTGTGGATTGATGACATGAAAAGGGTGTGCTTGTTTGCGTGCGTGTGGCTGGAGCCCAAAGTTGAATTGAAGACTACAGAAAGCAGCAGAAGTTCTCAAGCCTGGGATCTCAGCCATGAATACAACCTCAAAGCAGAGTAAGAACTGTAAGAACAGCAAGTCCTCGCACAGCAACTGCGGTGCTATGTGCTACTTTTATAGCTGGATTGATGTCAGAAATCTTTTGAAATCATCTGAATTTAGAAATACGCTTTTTCCCCCCCTCTTCTTTCCCCACAGAAAGTTGGGCTGACTTGGGGACAACCATTCTACATATTATTCTGCCACATATTACTTCTGCCCCATTGATGCCAGCAGGACGCATTCCTGATGGCTCTTACTGGATTGATTCTTTGTGTCAAAACATCACCAACCCTTTACTCAATCCTGCCCACACAGAGGAGGGAATCCCAGGTCTTGCCTCCTGTTTCCCAACCATGCCAGACTTTGCAAAGGTGCTTTCATCACATCACGCACACAACACAAACACTTGTAAAACAATTCACATTAAGCCAGTGAAATTAAATGCAATCATTACATTGCGTAAGGAACAGGAAGAAGGCAAACTGCTCTGCTGACCTAGTGGTAATACTGCATTGCTAAACACACTAATCTGGGAAAGTTTGGTTAATCCTCCTCCATTTGTTCCTAATCAGCCTTCTCCTCCCCATCCCCCCCCTCCCCGCCGACTCCCACTACTAATCAGTCTCAAGACTTAAAAGCTATTTGCATTTATTCACTTGGCAGATCCACTGAATCCAGGGAAATCATTTTAATAGGTTTCAACCTAGTTCTTAAACGTTTTGCTACAGAATTACAGCAACGTTCACTTCCTTCATCCTGAACTGACTGAAATTCAACAAACAGCAAAAGAAAAGCTATTACCCAGGTCCCAACTGCCTGCTCAACATCTCTTCCACACTGAAATTTCAGAATTCATCAAGCATTGCCAAGTGGAAGAACTATTGACAAAGTAATACTTTCAGGCAGAAACATAACAGAGACCTCAGCAGAAATCCAGATATTCTACATGAAGGCAAAATTAAACAGTACTGGGCCTCACAAATATATTAATTTTCAGTTGATGATTGTACACACCAGGAAAAACATCACTGCAGTATTAATGCAAAAAAAAAAAAAGTACAGAAGAAGGAAAGAGAAAAGGTTTGGCACCAATAGGTACCAAGCAAACAGTTATGACCAAATCTCGTGCTTTCTTAAATTTAAAAAACAAACCAAAAAGCTCAGTTAGCATGCTAAGGCAAACCCTAAGAGTAGATTTTTCTAAGTTCACTAACATCAGTTCATACCGGTAAGGTCATGGGAGTGGTGTCTTGAACTTAGCATTAATCTAACACAAGCAAAAAACCAACAGATTAAACACCATTCAGCTCAGCTCTCGAGTTACTTCAGTGCCTCATCCTGCCTTCAAACAAGTCAGCTACAAAACGTCCAAGTGCTGGTGTCTGATCTACTGCCAGAGTAAAGACACGTGATTTTCTGGGCTGGTTCCTCTCTCTTCATTATCACCTTTATTCACCAAGCTGTTAGTATCAGAAGAGTCCGTGATTCTTCTGTTACACATCTGTAAGAGATCTTCACTGCATTAACCATTTATCAGTGAGGCAGTCTGTCACTTTTCAGAATCTCTTTCTTCTATTTTCCCCAAATAGACTCAGAAAACCAATACATTCAAGTCAGACAACTGTCTGCAGAGTGTCTTCCAGCAGACTTCAGATTTGAGGTCATGTAAAGGATTAGGTTGAGCTATAAATTAACTTCTAAAGACAGGGAGCTCTTCCATCATGTCTACTTCCAATCCCAATGTAATAAAGCTTTCTGCAAAGCTACTTTCCTATTCCAGCTAAAGCTGGCATTTTTAAAACTCTGCAAGTAACCAGCACACAGAACTGCTAAGCACTCCTTCATGTAAACAAGATAATGGAAAAGGTGTTTATTCACGCAGCCTACCTGTACTGAATGAAACAGAGTAATGTTTGGCTTACATTGGGCTTAATGTCTGATAAATTAGGGAAAAAAAAACAGCAAAGTAGTAGAAGGAGGAGGTTCAGAAAGCAGCTGCAGCCCTCTCATCCTTCCAGAAGCAGGGAGCACGTTTACCTTCAAAACCACACAGCACAGAAAGAACTGGGTCTTGATACAACTGTTTTATGCGTCCCTGTCTACACACACGTTTACCTAACTACAAAATACAATTCCCCAGCAGCCTGGTATACATTACAGCCCCACACATTTAGGTTTCCATATTAAATGGCTTGGAAACTTGAACCCAAGGCTGAATGAAGCCAAGGCTCACCAGCGCGCTCAGGCTGCCCAGCACGTTACAAGATCAGGCAAAAATACAGTTTCCTCTGCTGCTGAGTCACAGCGTGGCATTCAGTCCTTACAAATATGAACGACTCAGCAAAGGATCATCTAACAGCTGGAAAAAAGAAAGGCACTGGTCAAAACACTGCTGTAAAACAGCAGAAGCAGCCACTGTAGGATGTCTAGTTAATATAGAAAGAATCTCTTTTCAGTGTTCTGCAAAATAACTACAATGGGCAGGGAATCTATGTATGATGCTTCCTTGGAGCACTCAGACCTCCAGATCCTGCTTAGTGCACTGCTGGCTTGCTTTCAAGCATGGTGTCAACTCCAACTTCATCATAATTATTAAAAGCAACTCCCAGGGCTTAGTAAATACATTAATTCTCATGTGATAACACTCTGTTTACCTGTCAGCAGAATAGACCTCATGGTGCAAACCCACAATGAATACGGACCAATAATAATATACACAGTATTTTACAGAAGTCAGTTCTGAACATAATTTCTTCAGTGTTTGTCTAATCTGATATTCTGTTGAAACTTCTGTGTGAGACTGAAATGCTAACAAAGTTTATTGTTTCAAAAGATTTGCAAGGCAACACAGCTTTTCCATCAGCCATGGAATTAAAGCAATTAGAAGAAGGAAGAAAGTGTTTACTCATTATTTTGGCACAAATTAATTAAAGAATTCAGAACTCTTAGGGTTAGCTATGTGACATAATAAACCTCAAAATCCATACGAGTTCTAGAGAACTTGACATAATCTACTGATTACAGCCTGATATATACTGATTTACAGTCAGGATGATGAAACAAGGAGCACTGTTGAAAAATGAAGTGCCATGAATTTGGGCAGAGAAATAACACTGTTATGGCACTACTTCAACTAGCCCTGGACAGATCATCCTACTACCTAGTAGAGCAGTGCACAAACCAAGACTATTTCCTAACTGCCGAGAGTTTCCCTAAGGATCTGGCCATCAAGAGGCAGCCAGCCCAGAGCACCTTGCTACCTTACTCATGCGACTGCCATCACAAGGCAACTGCTCACAGAGACACTGACACTGAACCCAATTCCTCCTCACAATCCCCACGCTGTTTTCCCTCTGGATATATTGCTGAAGGCAATGTGGGTTTATTTTGATTCCCTTTATGCCACCACTGTTTTCAGTATCTAGACAGATCTGTCAGAAATAATGAGATGAAACCCCTTCCCAAGGACAAAATAGTCCATCTCATTTTCCTCTAATTTGCTTAAATGTTTATTGCTTCTTATTGTCAGTAGAGACACAACAGTCTCCAGAGTTTTTAAGTGGCATTTTGTTTCGTCAAGTGAAGATCACACATTTCTGCAGTATGATGAAAAACCAGAGATGAAGAGAAACCTCTGACAATAACATCCTATGGCAGTGGGAACCATGGAAACCTCAGCACACAACTTCAATAAGCAAAGTTTTGTAACAATCCCTGCTAGCTGTATCACCTGCTGCTCAGGTAGCACAGTGAGCAGAACAGTCAGCATAGCACTCCCAGACACAGGCAGCAGTAATGCCAGGTGCAGCACAGAGGTTTGCTTGCAAGGATGAAGAACAAACCCTGTAAGGAACACTTCTTCTGTGTGACCATCCACGTGGCAGACTACTTCAGGGGTTCAGCTGGAGAACAGAACTACAGCAGGAAACACGATCAGGTTTATTTGAAGTAGAGTTATAAAAATACTTCTCAATATTTACACATGTGGGTTTGCCAGATCTGAACCTCGCTCCATGAGCACAGCTCACACATTCGGTTCCCTGTGACCTTCCTCAAAACACAGCAGTCACACACTGCACCCACTCTGCAGCCAAAATGAAGTTCTGCTGGAACATGTATCGTTCTGAAGAGTGACATCCCCAGCACCTAGCAGGATTCTGTAGCCCAAAATTAAAAACTTAGGGATTAAAAAAAAAACAACGAGCTCTCAAAAAAAATCCTACTTTCCAAGTGTTTTTAAAAACCTCTGAGTAAGGACTTCTATCTGTCTCACGTTCCTTTCCATTGATCCAAGCACTTAGAGCAGCTCTCACTGTCAGTCTGCAAACTTACTGTGGCAGTGCACACAAAACAGTGTCCTGGGACAAATATCTGTGTATATCCACAATGGTAATTAACAGCTTTCAGTTGGTATTGACAGCAAGTCCCCAGAGACCCTGCAGTGCGTCCATTAAGAACCACCAACTATTGTTATTGGATCACAAGCTGTAGTGGTCTGAATTACATGGCAAGCCAAGTTTTCATCACAAAGAAACACCAACATTCTAGTGAACGTCTCCAAAAAAAAGCTGAAAATATGGCTGAGATAAATCTGGGAGATCTTACAGTTTAGAACATAATCAAAAAGAAAATGATTTACAATGTTAGAACTGTTGTTCTGATTTAGGGTGGCAAAAAAAATCTCATTTTTCAGTACTGTGGATGGGTACAACCCACTTGTGTTTAGTCTAACTGCCACGACTGTGATCGCAGCCATTTTTATGGCTGTGCAAGCAGAACTTTTATCACTGCTCCAGAGAAGGTCAGTCCCTGTGATTTCTATTGTACAGATAAGGAAGTAAGAGTATTGAATGGCAGCGACTCTGCAAAGACAAAGCAGTCGGGAAAATAAAGCAAAAGGAAATTCAGAATCTGTCTCCTCACTACTCTCAACTTCTACACTCTCTCCACTAAATCTCGTTCTGTCTCAACCTTGAAGTGTGTTGGGAACACAACCTGACAGGCACACAGTGAGGCCCAAATACTGAGTCTCCTAACAAAAGCAGCAGGAAAAAATTGTTTTCCCTAAAGTTGTGATTAAGCAGAAAAGAAATATTACACACTGATATTTCTTAACCTCCCACTCACGTTTTGTGGCCAATTTGGTATCATATTTCTCCTTCTGATGCAAATGCAATCATAACATTTTGTAGTAAAGGGTGTGTGCAGCTCCAAAACTGAATGTGAATTCAATCTGAAAGAGCGTATTCTTTGGAAATATTCAGAAACAGCTCCTTAAAAGGAAATGCTGCCATTTGCAAAGCTTGGTAAAATTAGTCAGAAATCAGTGTTATCCTACACAGCAGTGTGGAATTAACCACAGCATATGGCTGAACTAATTATTCCCCTTAATTTTTATTTAAAAGTCAGAATTTTATCCCAACTGTAGCATAATCTCACACCAAAATGCCAATACTTTTTCAAGTGGAGACAGGGAGAAAAAACGTTTTGGTTCCCTTTAACACTTACATAATTAATTTGATCTTTTTCTTGTTTGCTAAGCAAACAAGCTTGACCAAGTCTTCATCACAGGCTGCCAAACCTGCATTTTCCTAAGTCCATGGCAGTGCAGAGAGCCCTCCTGTGCACCCATACAAAGCTTGACTTAAACAACAGTTGTATGCCTTGTATGCCCCCATCTCCAAATGCATCAGCTATCTTGAAATATCTCAAGGCACACATCTAATATTCCTAAGTGACTGAATATTTAGATCAAACTAAAGCAGGAGCTGTGCAGGAAGAAGTGGCCAAAAAGAGCTAGGAAAATGCAAAGACTCAGTAGTACTGCAAAGCACAGATGGGTAAATGCATTGATATAATGAGAGAGGAAATAACAGTGGGGAAAAGAAGACTAAAAACTGAGATGGAAACGAAAAGGCAAACAAAAGCAAATGAAGCATTTATTTGTGAATCAAAGGCTAAAGTCACCACTTCCTAAAATGGCATCTGAAAAAGGCATCAGCAGTGGATAGGGACACAAACTGGACACTTAAAATCAAACCTTATTTACCCTCTGATTTCCTTCCCATTCCTGCTCTTTGGTCTCAGATTTCCACCACCCAACAGGCCCACAGGTTTAAATCTCAGTGAGACTTCCATAACACCCATCACTGACTCATAGTGTTGATTTCATGCCTCCTCTCGAACCACTGCCAATATGCTATATTGCTTTCCAACTATCTGAGCTGTACTTTAAGTCTGTGACAGTTCTGCATTTGAATAGGATCCAGGACATTAACACGTAATGTCTTCAAAGCTGGATCTTCATGATGTAGGTAGCTAGACTGCTCTTTCTTCCAAGTCATACCACCAGTCAGTCCAAAGAGCAACCCCAGTACCTTCCACATTCTCAGCTGCACTCACATTCTCTGCTGCACTGCTTTACCAAGAGGAGAAGTATTGTTTTGAAGGAGTTCAGGCACCCAACTTACATGAATGCTTGCACAAGTCCCATGAGATACTGGGTGTGTCTCTAAAGACCTAGCTAAGGTACTTTGAAACATCTGTCCTATGCACATGGGAACCCCTAGCTTCACTCACAATCACCCAGGTTTTTTTTTTTTTGGAAGCACTGGATATGAATGACAAGTTTTACTTTCAAAGGGACTCAGTCACCTAGGTTGTGTAAGTGCTTGAAAAAGTGGTGTTCTGCTCCTGCTCTCCTATTTTTCACACCAATTACTTCAGGTACTCACGTTCAGTATGACTCAAAGTATATGTTCTCTCTATAATCAATGGGCACAGAGTTTCTTTAAGATGGTGAGTCACAGCATCAAAGTTAGATGCCCAAGGTCAGTATGAATATCTGTTGGTGTATTGTGTTTATGTGCAAGCAAGCAATTTTGTAAAGGGTGGCCTTCTAATATACTGTAAAGTAAGGAAATACCGCAGTATCTCTTCTCTGAACTGTATGGAGGCAGTCAGAGCAGGTGAACTTTTTTCATTTATATGACTTTTCCAGGTGATAAAGGACTGAACTATCAGATGGAAAACACCCAGGACTCTCCGAAGCTACAAGAGGTGCAGGTATTTGGCACCTTTCATGTAAACAACAGCATCAGAATAGCAACTTATCTTCTGCTGCCCATGTAACAAAAGAAAAACTAATGAAAAATTACCTGAGCACCGTAGACTCGTTGCATTGCCTGAAGCAACTGGTTTGTGTATTCAGTGAGGGTTCCTGCATCTTCCTCAAAGACACTGAGCAAAGAGCGAGTCTTCCAAAAGAGAAAAAAAGCAAAAAGTTTCAGTCTCAAGGGAAAATATTTTAAAAATTCACAAGACTTTGTAAATAAATGGTAGCAAAAAGACAGATTAGTCAGAAACAATCAGCCTCCCACTTTGTATAGCTCTGTTCATTCAGAATTTCAAAACATGTAGAATTTAGCCCTTCTGATAGGAATAGGTAAACTGAGGCAGTAAGAAGCAAAGTGATAGAAAAGCTATGGCCAGCTCTTGATTCTCTGACTCCAGCTCTAACTAATAGGCATTCCTCCCAGCATAAGCAGGAATGTAAAAAATCCTGAATATCTGCCTGCTGACTACAGTAATCCAAACCACGTTAAGGACTCTGGGTCAAACACTAGTGCTTGCTCACTTTACTTCCCTAACATCACACTGCATCACAAGCACTCCTTTCCATTAGGTAATTTACAGAGTATTATTTACTCTCAACTGTCTTGAGCAACTCTTAAAGGGCCACTGACAAAGCTAGGGGACATAACCACACTAAACTGAGTGCTTGTCTACAACAGCAAGCATACATGTGTACACATGTTCAGAGATGCCCCCTACTTTCTCCACTCTGCCAGGTCATCCTTGACAACAAATAGAGGGGAAAAAGACAATAGCTACAAGTATTATCTTAAAGACATGAATCCCCTTGGCTTGTTTTGGTGGAATCATCAGGAACTGCGAATTACGTTGCTTCTGAGATGGGAAAGAAAAATATCTCAGAATAACACTGAGCTCCAGAACTCAGATCAACACAATATCGTAATGACACTAAATGTGACCGAGCCCCTTTAACAAAGTCATGATCTATCCTTAGTCTTAATGTTGGTAAATCCAATGAGTTTGAAGCTAACTGGCAATGTCTTCCCATCTGCACAGCTAATTTATATTACTCCAATTAGATTCATCTGCTTACCTGAGGGGCACCCATAAACTCGAGTACTTTAGTACTAACAGAATGAGAGCTTTATCCAACCTCCTATTGCAGGAGCCTTCTAATACTGCTGAAGTATCCAAGTACCAATGTGGAAAACTTATTTTAGAGTCTTAATGCAGTCTTAAGTAGCTCCACAAGAAGTACTTCCTCAAGATGCTTATTTTTTGCAAATCCATCAAGATTTTGTTGGTCCTGAAAAACTCAAAATCAGCATCCTTCAAGAACTTTGTCCTGAATGTTCTCTCTTCCCAACAGGGACAGTGGTATGATTCTGAGAGTTTTCAGCATTTAATTATCATTTCAGTAATTGAAAGCATGCTGCTTTTGAAAAATACCTGCTTTTAAAAGTTTCATCTTCAATGATGCATTAACTAAAATAAACAAAACAAAAGCCATCAACCTATCTCCTTATCTCCCCTGCTGTGTATTAGAAAAGCAGATAAACTCCACAGGTTATAAGGATGGCTAAAAAAAATAAAACAAAGGAAGGCAAAAATGACACAACCTGACATACAGTGTTGATCAAGGCCAATCTCAAGCTAAGACTGAAAAATTAAAAAGCAGCTGACTGAATGATAGAATCAATGAATGGTTTGGGTTGGACGGAATCATTAAGACCACCCAATTCCAACCCCCCTGCTATATGAATGAGACTATGTATGATGTTTCTGCGTCCTGGAAAAGGTTTACAAACCCAACTGTTTTCCAATTCCTAAATCTTACTGAATTTTTGCACATTCAGTTTTTCAGATGTCAAAATATGGGTAAAGCAGCATTGGGAAAGCATTTCTGAAAGTCTTGGTCTCAGTTATTGGCACCTTCATCAAAAGTAATAAAAACAATAAATTATTAAGCAGCTTGGAAGTTATGCTTGGAAATTTTCATATTGAAGAACACTTTTAAATTACCGCAACAAAATTCCAGCGTATGTAGTTTTTGTTGTTGCTGTTTTGACAAGATCTGGAATGGCAGACACTGCTGCTGAAACTAAGCAGTAATCCAAGTATAAGCTAAGAATTTTGGAGGCCCCATTAATAGCATCACCATCTTGGCTGCTGGAAACACAGGAAAAAAAATCTATTTTCACTTAAGTATTTCCCTTGGTTTTAGCATGGCAGCTTAAGTAAATTTCCCTTCTACACTGTGACCAAGCACTTCAAAATTAAGCCATTTCTTAAGGCCATTTTCGGTCAGCACTTGGAGACAAATCAGAAAAAAAAATGCTGTATTGCTGGGGGATGGAAAATCAAGCTTCAGAAAAGTGATGAAGAAATAACAACAATCTAATCTTCTGTCTTGCACCAATTTACATACCTCATGCACTTTCTAAAAAAAGTGAGGTTATGTCCTCATTTTATTACCCCTCTTTCAGTGACTGCACAAGGCTGAAGTGAATCAGGTCACTTTATGCAGAAGTACGATCACATAAGCAGCTACACTGCAAGTTCCGTGGAACAGAGACTGTCTGCCTGCTTTGATTTTGTAGTAACCAGCTCACAGAAGAACCCAGTAGAGGTGTGAGTGTAAAGTCCACCACTCAAGAAAAAAAATAAAATAAAATAAAAATGGGGGAAAAAAATGATATTTCCCCTATGAAAAATTAAATTTTATCAACAATGGACCATGGCACAAAGTTAAGCAATGCCCATCTCATCCAAAGTTAAAGAACTTGAATAAAAATTGATGACCAACCTAAGCCAAAACAACCTGCACACAGCCAGGTTTATGCACAGCCCAGTATTTCCAGTAATTGAAAAGGATTTGTTAACAGCCTTCAGGTCAGAAGAAAGACTAAGACCTCCAAATTCAATTCAGTGCTTTGTTCAGCTGCTTCCACTCAGTGTTACATTTTTAATCATCGAAGGAAGCGTTGACTGAAGAGGAAAATGAGTTCATCTGCCCTGTGTGTCAAGTTCTTCAGCTCCACAATGCACTGGGGAGGTTGCTATTAAGAACATTAATAACTGCTCATAATAAATCTAGCACACTTTGGTACAGAACACTGTACAGTTCGGGTCAGAAGGAACTCTGGAGGCCATCTGGTCCAAACCCTGCTCAAAGCAGGCATCAGGCTCCCTCAAAACTGTTCCCAGTTGAGTTTTGAAAATACACAAGCTTTGAGATTCCATGACACATAAACATTTGATAAAAATCATTCTTATTAGGATGGGATTTCATGAAATCACAGGAAAATGGGTTAAGAAGAAAAGCTCAAGACAAGCCTTAAGACTCATTAACTCCTGACAGGTGCAAGTCCAATCTTTCCTTCAAATGACTCATGACAGACTCTATAACACCTTTCAGCCATCTGTTCCACAGTTTACCTATTGATTCCTCCTCCCAGTCCATCAGCAGATGAGTTTGAGTTACGATATTGGGATACTTAGGAGAAACACCCATGCAGATCCACCCTGCCCTTCTTTCTCCTTCCTTGCTTCACCCACTACTTCTGTATCTCTGCCTGCTTTGCATTCTGACCTCAAGTGTACCTTCCCCACCCTTCTGAGAAATTTCCACTCTCCCTTTCCCCTTTTTTCTCCCACCCCTCCTCCCATCCTCCCTTGTCAGCTCCCAAGGCCTCACACCCCCCTGGAACGCCCACAGCCATCTCGACATGTCACATTCTCTGCTATAGGTTTTCCACAGTGCTCAGGGGACGCTTTTGCAGTGAAGAGCAGATGCCAGCATGGGAGCTTGCAGAGACTGAGAAGGAAAGACTGACAACTGCCTGGCCTCCCTTCCTGGCCCCATTTAGAATGGGGTCACCTTCAGTAGGATTCAGCCCACTTATCCCCGAGGGAAGCCCCTATATCTGATGCACGGCCCTTGGGGCCCTTCACGAGGAGCACGGCCACTGGCAGCCAGATCCACTAGCCTGCTTCTGTTGCCTATTTCCCTCACGTACCAGGAGGGAGTCAGGGCAACACGTCGTGCCCAAACACACCTCGCCTCCAGCACACCCAGGATGGGACAGCGTGAGGGGAAAGCCACGGAGACGAGAACAGGCGTCGTGCCCCGACCTTCCCCAGCGCCTGCCAGACGCAGACATCACCTGTTTGTCCCTGACAGATGACCGTCAGGAAGCCAAAGCCTTCCCCTGACGCCACAGGGCTGCCACCGGCCGCGGAGCATCCCTGCTCCCCCTACACCCACGAGCTGAACCCTCCGACCCATTTTTCCTTCCACCGGTCGGGAGCCGCCCCCCGGTCCCTGCCGTCCCGCTCTGCCCGCGGACACCGCTCTCCCCGCCCGCCATCCCCGCACGGCTTCAGCCGCGCCCCCCGGCCCGGCTCGGCTCCCGCTACCTGCGGGCTGTCCTGCAGAGCTTCTTCCAGGAGGAGCTTGTCGACGGTGGGCATCTTGGCGCTGCGACGCGGCGGGGTGCAGGGCGGGCGGGCAGGCCCCGTGTTCGGCTGCGGCGTCCCTCCCCACGGGGGCGGCCGCGGCTGTCCGTCCGTCTGTCCCTCCGTCCGTCCGCAAGCTGCGGGTCACGGCGGCTGGCTGCGCTGGCGGGGCCGGAGTCGCTCACTCCTCCCAGTTCCCGTCCGTAGGAGGAAGCGAGTCACGGGGCAGGGCTGGCAGGGGGTGGCTTCCTGCCGCCATTAACTCCTCGGGGGCCAGCGGGCTGCGTGGACCGTGGTGCCGGAGCCTCTAGACGGAGGGTGTCTCTTCCTCTCCGCCCCAGCTGCCCTGCTCATGGCCCTGTGCCCCACAAACAAGAAGGGGCTGTGGGTCCTCCCCTCAGCTCAGAGAGATGCACCCTGGCTGCGAGAGAGCAGGACTGCAATGGAAATGAAGGGAAAAGCGCCTCATTTTGGGGGCTTGAGGGCCTCTGGCAATTTCTGGCCCGTTGCAGTCTTCCTTGGGGTGTCCCCGCTGTGCTTAGGCAGTGTATTGAACCTGCAGGCTCTGGGAAGCACGCCGAGTCCTGGGTGACTTTCGGGGTGCAGGGCAATCTGTGAAGTACTGTGTCCAGGCCCAGGACCCCAGCCCAAGAAGGATGCAGAGCTGTTGGAGCAGGTCCACAGCAGGGCCGTGAAGATGCTCAGCGGGTTGGGGCAACTGCTCTGTGGTGAAACGCTGAAGGAGTTGGGCTTGTTCAGCCCGGAGAAGAGAAGGCTGTGGGGAGACCTCTTTTCAGCCTTCCAGTACTTGAAGGGGGCTTACAAGCAGGAGCAAGTCTGATTTCTTAATACGGTCTGCTAGTAATAGGACCAGGGGAATGGCTTTAAACTAAAAGATGGGAGATTTAGGTTTAGATGTTAGGTGGAAATTATTTACTCAGAGGCTGGTGAAACACTGGAACAGATTGTTCACAGAGGTGGATGCCCCATCCCTGGAGGCACTCCAGTGGATGGCAACCCTGCAGGGAAGTGGAGCTCAGTCTTTCAGGTCCCCTCCAACCTAAGCCATTCTATGATTCTATGGCTAAGCCAGGTATGCTTACAGGCAGTCCTCATCTGGGGTGTTTGCATTTCTTCTTATCTGTGGATGACTACTCTGGAAGCAGAATTACAGAATGCGGAGTGCTTCAGGTGTGTCACTTCCATCTCTGCTATACCCCTGTGCTGGGGATATTGGAGGAGACATGTTTTCCTTTACTGGTCATTTGTGTACAAAGCCATGGTTTTGTTACCAACATACTGCTGTCTTAAATGTGCTGGATAATATAAACGTTTGGACTTCAGATATGTAGGTGATACCAAGTCTAGTATATTCAAATGCAGCAGTCATTTGACCCTTGGGTATTTCGTTATCTTCATGTTTTTGGAGTGTGGCCATCACAAAGCCCACTGGTTTTAGATGCCTCAGTTTTTTTTAAACAGTCTCAAGTTTCTGAACTGAAAATCAATTAGAATAGTAGAATAATTGAATTTCCCAAGTCGTAAGGGATCCATAAGGATCATCAAGTCCAAATCCTCCATACTTGCCGTGGGTAGCCTTTCATTTTTCCACTTGGTTCAGGGCAAAACTAGAGATATTCAAAAATAAAATCCCATTTAAAATAAACCCACACATTTCTGAAGAGCCTTGCCTATTAAGCAGATCATGCAAACAAAAATATTGGCTGCAAAATGAGAAGATGTCTTCTTAGAAAAAATGCTCACCTCCAGATACTTCATGTTGCTGATCTCCTTTGAAAGAAGAAAAATAGTTGGAAAAGAAATCATGCAATCTGAGTTGTAAAAGAAGTCCAAACATTTAGCATTTGCTGTTTTGCCATTATAATAAGTGGATGCACTTTGCATCTAAATCCTGCTCGATTCTGTTATTCCTAAGCAATAGGAAGCATTCTATATGGCAAGAAAGGTGACTGCTAAATACAACTCTTCTTGTTGAGGAAGACTGAACTGAACTGACTGATTCAGTTAGAATACAGTCTTAGAAAAATGTTACAAATCAGCTGGATGATCATTTTCTTTAATTATGTAAGAAATGATCACTGAACCCTGCAATTGTGGTTAAGGTATTTCTGTGGGTCTGACATTGATTGGTATTAATTCTGAAGCTTGTGATAGGACCTTTAACCCAATGTGCCAACTCTGCCGCAGTATGACTCCACTCCAGCAGTCCTGAAGCTGGACTCCCTGTTCCAGCCCCTACAGCAGGAACAGCATTCTCACGTTCAGTCTTCTTCTCCTGCCTGAATAAAGACACTGAACAGTAATGCAAATCACCAGCTAGGACCGAATGTATCAAGTTTGATGGACGGTATATATTTACACAGTGGGAAAACAAAAATAGATATGGCTTTATAATGATAATGTTTCAGAGAATTTTAGAATGGTGCAAAGAAGTCAGAGGTTTTTTTGTTTGTGTATAGAATATGAAGCTAGGCATTAGACTTAGGAATCCGTGACCTCTTCTGAGCCAGTTTCAGTCTGTATTAAAGGCTTATTTTTCTTTCTTCAAAGATTTTGAAAACATTATTTAAAATTCACTGAGGAAGAGAAGTCCATGCTTTACATATCTATATCTGCTAAAGTAGCTTCAGGGCATTTTGGAATATTTCCCAAATATTTGTTACAATGATCCCCATTTCTCTCTGTCCTTTCTCTGTCCTCTTCCACCCCTATGTCCTGAAATAGCTCAGCAAAAGCTCTTCCCCATTAGGTTGTTCTTTCACCAACAAGATCTAAGGATGGCTTGTGTTTTCATTTCACGTTGTCTTCCTTCACAACAACTATCTTATCTTGTTCTTCTCAATGGCTTTGTTTAGTATAAGGTTCACGTGTGGAATCATTTTCTCACCTTTCCAAAATTGAGGACAGTTAACAGGTCTCACTTAAATAAAACTAAAAGCACTTCAGTAACTGTTGGAAGGTGACTCACAAGTATCTCACGTTCTTCTTTGGCATTCCTTACAGGTCTATACACTTTATTGGTTTCTTATGCATAGTGGGCAACCTGATTTAGTGGGTGGCAGCTCTGTTCAGAGCAGAGGGTTGGAACTGGATGGTCTCTAAGGTCCCTTCCAATCCCAGCCATTCTGTGATTCCATGATTCTATGATAGCGATCAGAACATTTTTATTACACTGCCCAAGTGCAGTTCACATGTTTTTGAATTAAAAATTATATTCTGCATATTATTTGTTGGAATTATCTTTTCCTTGGATTACTATGAACTGAAATTATTTTCCCGAGCAGCTAGTTTGATTAGGTCTCAGGAATTATTCTCCAGTCTTGACAATTCTGTTGTTTTTAAAATAGCTAAAATAATCCATAGTGCTACCACTGAAGATTTCAACTATTTTTGCCACTGTAGCCATACTCTGCAGAAATTCGGTACATGCCAGCTGGCATGCTTCAAGGCGTGCTCGGATGCCTTTACTAGTGCTGTGCTCAGGCTGACTTCTTCAGAGCTTGATAGCTTTGAAGAAGAACTTTCTTAGCTATTCCATGAAGACATATTTAAGGCGAACATTGTACATATGAAAAGAGAATAGGGAAGCAGTGGACAGAGTAGCTAGAACCAGTCACTTGAATGTACGTTCTATTTCCAAAAACCTGTCACAGCATGAACTGAGTTGGAAAACAGTCCCAGTAAGCAGTCCAAAGAATTTTTATATGCCCATTTTGAAAGACACAGATGACTTGATTAGGTTGAGATAAATGCCTTTTAGAATGTGAAGGCTTGAGGTGAAACTCCTGTAATAGCTAAAATGAAATCGATGTGCACTGCTTATAAAACTAATAAGACTTAGTAACATCAAATAAAATCAATACATAATTGAGTGTTGAGGATGAAGTAACACATCTCATGAACTAACTGTACTGTTTCTAGGTAGGAATGTTAAAAAATGGCAAAAGCCTGAATGTAGCTCAAGGATCTCATAGTTGAGAAAAGCAAAGATTTTAAAGGCAAGAAAAAAGTTTGGATTGATCTGTAAGCTTGAGATTGAGCTTGAGACTGGCAGAAATCAGTGCGTCTTCAAACCTAAGTTTGGGGTTTTATGTGTGATAGTTTTGTTTGAGGCTGATCAGGAACGGCTGTCGGTAACAAACCACCCAGCTGCCCAGTCAGGGCTGGAAGCAGTAATGCTGAATCTGTGTGGTGCTGTGCGTCAGACAATGAGCCCTGCCAACCTTAATTGACTGGTTTGGAAACAGGGCAGCTGTTCTGCATCTTTAGCCTCATTTATTTCCAAATTTGATAATCCACCCAGAATTAATGGAGAGCTGACTATAATTATTTGTTTCCAGTTAGACTGGTTACAGACTGAGTCACGTTGCGTTGTGTTTTCTTTTTCATATGTTTCATTATAACTTTAAAGAACATATTGCATTGTACTTCCTTTCTGGCTTCATACCTTGTACGTTACAAGAAATTTCTGAGCAGTAATGTGCTAGTCACATGTTTGCTAAGTCAGCTCAGTCTATTTATGCATTTAACACAGCGACAAAGAAACCTTTGAACTACGGATGACTTTTAGGAGGACAACAGTTTACCCTAAGTTGTGTAGTCGCCCTGTATAAATACAGAGGGTATATAATAGTTGCAATAAATGGCTTCGAATTTAATTTTTTTGCAAATGAAGGATTTGAAAGATAGTCTAATTACTCTCAGTGCCAGAAGCATCTGAAAACAATTTTTAACAGTATGTAAAGACATTGCTGGTTAGATTAATAATAGGGCATCTATTGCACATGAGAACTCCTGGACACTGAGAGAGTGTCTTGTGATTTTGTGTGTGACCTGCAAGATAATACCAGGCTGAAATAAAATTCCATTGAAATTATTAATTGCCATGCAACCAAGACCTCATGCTTTTTGTGTTAATGTAAAACACATGGCTTTGCTTATTTCCATTAAACACATTAGTAGTATGCCAGAATGGAGATGTACAGATGTACTTGAAAGTGGGATGGATCAAATTAAAACCTCTTTGAAGGTGAAGGGTGTAACTGCCATACTTAATTTCATGTAATTTAAGTACAATTAAGTTCCCTTAAGTAACCAGGTACTTGAATCAGCAGCAGCCTCCATCAAGATCCAGAATAAGAGCATGGTTTCAAAAGCTCAAGCCTGTGATGACAATGCCTGCTAGAGGTGTTGCCACCGCTACACCCATCACTGCCTCTGCTGGTGTCCACGTGGCTCTTTATCTGGAGCCTGACTGCTGAAGGGTATCTGCTTTACCATTTTGTATTTGCTTTCCAGGTAGGAGGAGCAAGCAGAGGATGGGCAGCTCATTGGTAGAAGGAAGTACTGAAATTCTTTAAGGTAGTATTACCTTCTGTATACAGTTTTTGCAGTGCTTGGGCAGATGCTACTGGCTCCTTTTAGCTGTACTGCTCCCTAAAGTGATAATCCAGGTGATAATCCAATGGAGTTTGTGTATCTGAGGTAGCAAGAAAAATCTTGCTGTAAAATACAAGTTGCATAAAGAAAAATAAGCATTTCATCAAATAAATATGCACGTGGTACAATTTTGTACATTAAAGTAAGAGAATTGTAATGCCTGATATGTAATTGTTCTATGAAATGTTAATGATTAATCTGTTTGCTGAAGGGTTACCAGAGGCCAAAACACTGTGTTGCCAGTGCAGGTTGGCTCTGCAGGTAGGGCTGCCACCTGGGTGTCAGAGCAATCACTGACTCAGAGTCCTTCCTTAATCATTTTTAAAATATAACATGAATGCAGACAGCACATGCAATGACCTAATGTCATTGTGTCTAAAGCCAGATTTTAGACTTTTTGTCTTTATCACGAAGCCATCTGAACCAACTAGGTCCTGCACTCTGTTTTGAACATGTTTATGTTATCTAACTTGGATCTGTCAGTTTGATTAATCTTCCCTTGGCATCACTCCTGCTTAAACTAAAAAAACTGATTGATGGGAGATATTCAGATTTAGTCGAAGTTAAAACTTTTAGTTTTACTTAAAGTTAAAAATTAAGATATCAATATTAGAATATATCCTAAGTGTAGAGACTATTAGAAGTGCATTAGTATATCCCTTTTGGC